GATTATGGACTTCAGGTGGTAAAATGAGACAAATGCCAGAGTCAGATCCAGAAGCATTAAGGTCTCCACATGAGCAGTGCTGCTGTTCCCCACCAGATGGCCCAGCCTGACAACAAACAAACGGCACCGACCCAGCGTCATGGCTCAGTGTGTAACCCAGACGACCTTGCCTTCACCCCCAAACACTCGATCTAATTGTTGGCTGTGTCTCAGATCTGGAGCAGGTTCTGCTTGAAGACTGAACCAGGGAGCGGGTCCGGTTCAGACACCTCTATATCTCACCTGTTTATTTCTGTATGTGAAATGAAAAGCCTTGGGTGTTGGAGCTATTTTTAGCTCGGTTCCTGAAACAGTGACTTACATATACCTCAGCACCAACAGGCACACAGTAAAAGGAAAACAGTTTAAGCTGTTGATGTAGTGCAGCTGGCAGCCAAACGCTGCTCGGCCGCTGTCACACACTGCTTCCTGTTCCAGTTTTCCAGGACTGCTTCTAGACGGCTTGTTTTTCTTTGGTTTTCTCACTGCATCAGCATCAAGGCTGCTTCTCTGGGTGCCTTAAAACACAGCTAGAGATGGGATTTGAATTATTCACCACACCAGTCCCATCTGTCTGGTGGTCAAGACCCCCAAAAGCCACTGCCGTACGTCTCAGTCCTCGGCTTGAACACATGCTCCGTGTTTCCCTCTGTGACCGACAGACAGGAGACAGGAGACAGGAGACACTGTCATGTGAAGACGTACTGCATCACCAGCTGGGATTATCTGACCCCCCCGTCTTCCCCCACCACACCTCCCCCTAGAAAATCTATAGTTCTCTATTGTGAAATGTCTGGTGTGATTCAACTGTCAGAAGGTCATTTAAGTCAAACTACTGCACTGACAGAACCTAATGTTTCTGAAGGAAACGTCAGAACATGAACATGTAGTGGTAGTTAACCAGGTTAGTAACCGGTTAACAGATGACACGATTACTGTCTCTGAGGTAATGGCACATTTGTTGTTCAGGACTTGAACCAGTTGTCAGTTGTCTGTCCATCCAACCATCCATCCATCCATCAATTCATCCTTCCTTGCTTCCTTCCATCCATCCATCCATCCATCCATCCATCCGTCCATCCGTCCATCCGTCCATCCGTCCATCCTTCCTTCCTTCCTTCCTTCCTTCCATCCGTCCATCCGTCCATCCGTCCATCCATCCAAACTGTTTCTTCTCTTCACTGATCAGGTGATTTTTCTCATTTGAATTAGTTGATAATTGATTGTGGCAAACAGGATTAAGAGGAATTATTCAAATGAAGTTAGTTCCCACAGTGTTTGGTAAAATTAATCTGTGCATGGCTGACTTAGTTTGTACACACACACACACACACACACTCACAGTGTTGCTGCTGGCTACACTGGGTAATGAACCAAACAAACAAAAAGGGAAACTGCTCAATTAGATGAATGATGTT